CAGTATGGAAATGCTCTGTGCAGGTGTTAATCAAGTTAAATCCCAACAGCCAATCAGCAAGAAATGCTCTGTGCAGGTGGAAATGCTCTGTGCAGGTGTTAATCAAGTTAAATCCCAACAGCCAATCAGCAAGAAGAATAGAGGAAAGCTGCATGCCTATTGGTTGATGCCCTGCATTCCATTGTGATGACTCATGCCCAAACGTGGTAAACAAGGCACACTAACACAGTAATACATTTGCTATAACACAGCCAAAAAACTCAAATAAAACCATTCTAAAAGCCTGTATCACAATAATTTAAAAAACGCCTAGGGGTATTTGCCCACTGTACCTCCATACCAAATTTCAGGACCTTGGGCCCTAAAATGAAGAAGCTGAATCCATTTAAAAAATGGCAGGAGAAGAAGAAGAAGAAACATCAGAAAAAGCAATATGGTTTCACCACACCACTTCGTGGTGTGGTGAACCCATAATGATAATGATGAATATGCAAGAGATTGTAAGTATGGTTTCATACATATTTTCAAGATAATGGTCGAAAGGGGTCTTTAAAGCAAACTATGTTGTCCAAACTGCATTAAAATCTCGAACTGGGTGAGATTTGAAGGGGAAAATGGCTTCTAAAAAGTCTTAACATGTTATGCTGTAGGTTTGTGATGGTTTGACGAAGTGATCAACTTGGAAGGCAAGTCAGAACCATGGCAAAATTTCTTGGGTTCACCTGCCACTGATTCGAGGGAAAAGTTAAAAATCTGATTATGTGAGTCTCAAGCAATCAGAGAACAACCCAGAACTGATATGCCATACTGTCAAAAATGGCTCAAATACATTCAATTTGTATGATCTAGACATTAAAGGCATCCAATGCCATTTCAGGGAGGCAAAACAAAAATATACTGGATGAGGAAATCTGTCTGCTATTGACCTTTACTGCCATTTCTTAGCACATTTTCGTCATCATTTCATTCTTGAATCATTTGAAACCCCCCCCCTCAAAAATGCTGTGATGCTATTTTTGGGCACCGCCCATAAATAGCTAGAACTAGCCTATGATACAAAACAAGCTACCGTTGTTGTTCAGCGACATCACATTTTTGCCTCAAAGCTATCAGTATGCTATGGGATAGGATTGATTCAACTTTAATACTACATTAAAAGAATGATGAGAAAATTGACTTTGAAAGTCTCATTTTTCCTCCCTGAAATTGCATTGGATGCCTTTGATGTCTGTTCACAGTGTTCCAAGATAATCTTACATTTCCTAATGGAGGAATGCAACAACATGACTAATCTCTTGCAATCACCGGGTCTAATCTGCTCTAATAGCAAAATCCCTCAAGCCGTGTGTAAACTGGGCCAAGCAATAACATCTCCCATCTCTCTTACCCTGCAGCTGTCAATCAAGATGAAGGGGCGGGGCATGCTGGCGACACACACCCTGGCCCAGTATGACCTCTCTCTAGCTAGCTACGGACTGGAGGAAAGCCATAAGTAAGACTTTTATCTTATCTATTCATAAATGATGCAGCTGCACTCCTATACATTGACTTCTCCCTAGCAATATTGACATCTCTCATCTCATCTATCCCTCAGTTTTTTATGATTATTCACCCATGCACTGAGGCAGCACAGGCAATCAGGTTTCTCCACCCTTCTTGGTATTCTGTTCTTCTTCTCATTTCACTTACTGTCATGCCTGTCCATTCTCTGATATTATCTTCTCATCTTTTCTGTTGCCTGTCTTTCTTCCTCCCTGTGATAATGTTCCTTCAATGATGGTTTGGCTAGTCCCGATGATAGTGAGATGTCGCCAAACAACTTCAGTTTCCGTTTCTTTACTGTGGTCAGGAAGTCTTTTTATGGACCTATGCTTTGACTTAAAATGACTTCTAGGGGTCCTTTATTAACCACAGCTAACAAACGGAATGGACTTTTTGCTAATTGAGCGTCCTATAAATAGAGGCTAAAGAAATGGATTGATCCTCTTATTGTGCAGATGATACAGAAATGTACTCTCATACTCTCCCCTAATTGACTTTCTATGCCAGGCAAGTTTTTACATAATTCTTCTTCATTTTGTGAACAAGATTTAAACTCATACTCCCTCTGGAAGAACAAATTTTTTCTGCCCTGTCGCCATTAAAGCGTGACTTATGGTTAAGGGAAACATTACGACAGCGATGCATCCCTGGACACAGGAATCAATTCAGTAGCCATCACATCTTTTCTGCACTGAGACGCCATCCTTATGTTTCACTCGATATTTCCCAGCAGTTTTCAATATCAATTTCATAGCTGTATTCACAAAAAGTAATTAATGGACATCAAGCCACAGAAAATTAAAAGGATCTGCCGTCATTTTTCAAGTTCTATGGGCAGATATCTACAAAATACCCAAAGGCTCCCATCTGGTTTCATTCAGGCATTTCAGTAGTCTATTAGACAATAATGGAAAGATTGTGAGATATCCTGAAATATTGAAGAACTCAAGTTTCAGTATCTGGGAAGTACAATGCACGTAACGGTTAATATAAAACTGGCATAAAATGAGCAGCCAACAGCTCAGGTTTCTATGCCACAGAGCTAATTAATTGGTTTGTGTCACAGCAAAGTTCTGTCCATGTAATATGATGCATATAATTGCTTTTCTCTCTCGTTTTACTGGATTCAACATCTGTTCATAGGGAGCTTTATGTATTGATGGCATTTTGCCCGTGAGAATAATCTTATACAATCTTTTATGGGCTAAATCACAACTCATAGAATAGCATTAGAACCATTCTAAATTTGTTTAAAATGTGGATCAAGCTAGATATGTGGCTCTTCAAGTTGATTTTCAGTCCTGTTTAATGGAGAGATTGGGGACAAAAAAATGATTTCCTATCATCAGATTGATGCACTTCCCATTGTACAATATAGATCTGTGTGCATTATCTGGGTTGGATAGAGCTCTCTGTATTACAGGGTTCAATGTGAGGGTATCGGAGGTATCAATAAGAATGATACACTCAGCATTTCATGGCTGCCCACATAAAAGGTTTCAAAGACCACCATTGAATGCAGTAAAATACTCAATCCTTCATTCTTTAACTTCTTTGGCCTTCAAAATTGCATGCTCGTATTGGCAACTGATGCCAGATTTAACAGTATGATTATATCATAGCATTTGAATGGACTCAGATGTTATAATGCAGCAACTACATGTAACTCTCATGGCTGTTGTTGTTGTAGAATGTGTCCAAGAATATGTATACAAGAAATTTATTGGATATTTGAGGTCATTGTGAGCAACGTTGAGTGCTTTAAACACTACAGTCTTCATGGTATAGTCCTTCATTGTTGAAGACAACTATCTTTAGTGTATGTATCATCAAGGGAGATCAGTCTATAATATGCAAGGGAAATAGCAGAATCTAGCATGTCTCATCTTTAGGCCACACCAATTTAATTTGTTGTTTCTCGGATTCACCCTGTCCATTTTTTTTCCGATTTGAAAAAAAAAGAAGAAAAATTAGGTTCTGAATCAACTGCAAAATGCTCAATGAAAGACATATTTTGGCCCCAAGGGTTGAGGGAAGTCCTTTTCTTCCTACTTGTTAAACTTTTTCAATGTAACAATGCAACCTTGTTTCATTAAAAGTTCAAAATCTGTTGTTATAATTATAAACCAGCCTGGTATGTTGACGTCATGGCTCATATCATAACATTTCTGGCCTTCATGGGCCTGTTTTTTTATTTAGCCCTGTTGCTTCATATTTTTTCTGACAAAAAAATTGAAGAAACAGCAAATTAAATTGGTGTGGCCTTAACCCAAACTGTAGAGACCATTCATTAATCAAGGCTTGGTACATATGGCTCAGAGAAGAACAACTGTGGCCTCTTAACATATCACACCAGATTCTTGATCCAAAAACACATGGTGACAAGGCCGTGGAATCCACAGGGACCTCTGATGCTAAAGCCATGCACTTCCAGTTCACCAGGTTGCAAATGGAAAAGGGACTGTTTTAGAACCCTGGTAAGTGGCATACCTCCATAGGCAATTAACAGCCTCCCCTCTGTGGCATGGTGACTGTTGTTGTTAAAATCAGCAGTACAAGACTAAATCCTTCAGGAAATACCTTAAAAAATCTGTTTAATGTACTTGAGTGATGTACATACTGAGCAGATGTTTGTTGTCATTGCATTGTTGTACATGTATATTATGATAAGAAGTCTAGGAAGATTACCCTTGGGTAAAACACTAATGGATTTTCTTTAATAAAGTTTAAGCCTCTCTTAAGGACATAAATTGGAAGTCTGCAGGGCCATGAATTCTAAGCAAAGATAATTTATAATTTAATGTGCCAGTGTAAAAATACAATATTTGTACAATCAATCATTTTAAAAATAAATGATTGTGCAACTATAATGTTGTTTTGTATTGCCCTAACCCTGTTTAAAATAAATGATTGTACAAACAAATATATCGTTTTACCATGCTCTAATATTGCATATGGAAAAAGATTACTGGTATCATTTTCAAGCAATACACAGTTGTGTGACAGTTTCACCTGGTCTGAGCTGCTTGTTTAAAAGTTGTAGGTGCATAGTGCCAGAACGTGCTTGCAATAGATAATCATTGCTCAATCTATCATAGTCATGTGAAGGTGACATTACACAGAAGTTGTGTCAACAAAACACCTTGTTTGCTTCAAGAAGGATTGCTTGGTGAAAGTCAGTTTCATCACTGTCAGTTTTACATGTTTAACCTTCAACCTGCTAGGGTAGCCATTGACACCGAATGTGTACTGGTTATGGGGTTAGGCAGCAGGGAGAAGGTTAAGACCTTCATGGAGTAATTGCTAACAAAACATCATGAAGCACATTCTGTAATAGAGGGTGATTTCTGACATTTACAGCAGGATAGATGCTGATTCTATCTTAACTGATGTTTTGAAAGGAATTATTTTTGCAATGGATATCTGTCATCTTCTTTGAGAAAATAGTTGTATATTCCTTGAGGAATATACTACTAACTGATAATTCTACGTGACTGATAAACCTCTTCAACAATATTCTTTGAGAAGGCCCTTATCCTAACAGCAGATCTTTCATCTGATATATTAGAGAGGAACTCATTTGATATATACACATTATGTACATGTAACAGATGGCAGTTTAATCACACTTCAATTTTTACTATAAACACTGTATCAGCTGAGCATATTCAAACTAGATATCTGCAACAAAGTTGCTCTGTTGAAACACTTACCCGATAGGAAAAAAAGCACTAGATCTGTCCCTCTATCCATGTGTATAGTGACCTTCATCAATGAGGGATCATCTTGAAGACAGTGATTTTATGACCTCTTTCATCCTTGTACATGTATCTGTAGGAAGCTTTGACGCAGTATCTAAGTATTTCACACATATTGTTGGCCTGAAGCCAAGACCTCAAATCTACAGACTAAATTTTTGAGCAAGTTTCCTTTAGTTGTGCAAAATTTTCATAGTGCAGGTTGTGAATTATAATATTTACTAGATACTGTTTTGATTGTATAGCAAATAGCATCATATTATAAACAAGGCACTGTTTTCGTAACATCATTACGTTTCCTTTTGCCTTTGGGAAGATCCAGGCACTTTAACTCTGGGGAAATAAGCGTAATGTTTTGCCCTCACAGTTCACGAAATGTCAAAGTCCTTGCAGTGCGTAGAGATGTCAATTTGTATGTAGCCCAGTTCCTATGGGGTAGGTTACGCCATCTATGGGAGCCGCCTTAATTGCTTCGTCTTGCCCGACCTTGCCCGGGAAGCCTGCGTGGTTCCACTTAACAGTCTTTCCTAAATCCAGGTCTGAACCTGCCAATTAAAGCCGGGGATCAGGGGTGTAAATGTTCCCAAGTTATCGTCTGGCACGGGAGACAGTAGAGACTGGGGATTAGCGTTATTGCCCACTGGAGTGAATCTGTCTGTTTGGGGATGTCTTGGATGAGGACAACTGAACAAAAACCTGCCCAATCTTTGACATACATTCATGCACAACCAGTAATGCTGTTAACTTAGGCCACAACATTATTGTTGGTTCTCAGATTTTTTAGAGAAAATCTGAAGTGACAGGGAGAAAAAATAATAATAACAGAATGCTACCATAGGAGCCATGAAGTCAACACAAAGGGCTGGGTTAATATTCAAACAATGAATTTTGAACTTATAATGAAACCACTGCATTACTAGATGGAAAAACTGTAACAACTACATGTAGGAAGAAAAGGACTTTCCTCAACTGTTGGGGGCAAAATGTGAGCATTTTTTAGTTGATTCAGAACCAGAATCTTTTTTTTTTGCAAGTCAGAAAAAATTAAAGAGGCAAATCCGAGAACCAACAAATTAAATTGGTGTGGCCTTACAAGCAAAATAACTATCAGTACCACAGACAGTCACCATGTCTCAGAGGAAGACAGCTGAACAAAAAATGCTTAATCTTGATCATATAGTCATCTACAACCAGTA